CAGGGAGAGGGGATGCTCCACATTTTGTATCTTAAATCTTTGATGCTCCCTGGTTCGAATACCTTCACAAGAGGTATCATTCTGGCCTTGGGAGATCGGGTCTGAGAGGCTGCTTGATTTGCATGGAAGTGTAGTTAAGTCATCCCAGGCTCCCTTCAGCTCTCAGCCCTCTCTCCACCAAGTCTCTTCTTGCCCCGGCGCTGCCCCAGTGTGCAGAGCTTGCCTTGCAGGAGAAAGCTGAAGAAGTTCAGTCAGGCTGGTTGGGCTGATTGGGTTTGGCGAAGTCAGCCCAGACTGTGAGAGGAAAGAATGAGAGCAGGTCGTAGCTGGAATGGTTTTCATGGGACCACGGAAGATTTTTCCATCGCAAGTTTTAGACTACAGCTCTTACTTTTTACCACGTAGATGCTATGGACATGGTGCAGCGATACAGGGTGGGGTTTTCTGTCCCAAGACATACCACAGGCCAGACAGGCCAGTTGCCTTCTCTGCAGGTAGTTGTTTTGAGTTTTACAGGGGCACTGTCAAAAAAAATCAGCTCCTTCTTTATTTTTTCCTTACTGACTACCTATTAGGATAAGCAGTAGGGGTGTCCCAGGAATTCTGAGTGCCTAATTTTGGTTAATGGCCTCAGAGTAAACAGGATGTTGTGTTTGGCTGAGAGGCTGCTCTAATCAGATAACCCTGCCAGGCCCTGGTGTTTATGCTTCTGTGATTTAAGGACTCCAAACTTAAAGAAACAATAGCAAAAATAATTTCAAATAACTCCACAAAGACTCATTTTCTTTAAAAGCCTTTTTCTTTTATTCGTTTTGCCCACTCTTGTGCTCTTTCCGTGTTTCCTTTCCTTATGCATTCAGCTGATGTGTACAAATGTTCCCCAGAAGTGGTTTCTGAAGGTAGATTTTAGCATTCGTGCCAAAAGTGCTCGCATTCTCATTCAGCTGGGGAACAGCAAAAGTGCCACGTACTGTGACTTATTCAACCAATTATCACTAAGCAGAAAAAAAATGGCATTTTAGGCCCCTTGCTATGAATCCGTAAACAAGCCTTCCCATTATTTGGATGAATTTTAATAATGAATAAATGTTAGGAAGTTGCAACTTGCTCACGGATATTTTGCCAACAGAAAAAAAAATACATTACATTAGGCAATGGATTAGAGATGATTAATTCTACTGTAATACTTATTTACATCACACACAAGAAGTGAAAAGAAAGTTTTACAGAAATAATGGTCTACATTTTCTTTGAAGGCTTTGAGGTGCCCCCATTTTTTTACCTGCAAGCCCAGAGGCATTGAAGGGATGAGAGCGCCGCATGAGCACCCTTGGAAATGAGACCCCTCAGAGGTGTCTGAAATTGGGCAGCAAAAGTTGCTATTTAATTTGGAAAACCCTTGCTGGGAATAGGATCATTTTAATAACTCCTCATTAAAACTTAGTGACAGGAAAGATCTGGGTTTCTTCTGCAGCTCTAGAAAGATGAAGAGAACAGCTGGAGAGCAGGGAAATTACACTGACTGGAAAGAGAAAATAAAGCAGAGCAACCGGTGGCAGAGTCTTGGGTGAGGAACAAAATGTAGATTAACTAAATCACCGGTGAGACATAACCCTGATTAATTGCTTTCCCACCCCTCTTCCACACTAGCGGTAGCAGCTATAGCCAACAGCAGAGTCCAGGGACGTTTGCTGGGGTGGGAGCCCCTGCAGATGAGGTGAGATGATGCCTGCACCCCCTCCCCACTGACCTCCTCTTGTTTCCCTGCGCCCGCAGGTCGTTTACTTCACTGCCACCTTCCCATACGTGATGCTTATCATCCTGCTGGTGCGAGGAGTCACGCTGCCCGGTGCTGCCGAGGGGATCATCTTCTACCTGAAGCCGGACATTTCCAGGCTGGCAGACCCGCAGGTGGGTGGGGGTCAGGCAGGTGCTGGCCATGGGAAGGTTTCCCGTGCCCCGACCCTTGGGTCTGCTGGTAGCTGAGGATCTAGCTGTCTTCTCTGAAGGGAGACCGGCAAACCAGTGAGATCTCCTTAAAGGAGCTGAGGGGGGTCTCGTCCTCCTGCACAGCACAGCCTTTTTGCTCATGCATCTACAGCGCATGGATATATTAGGTCATTTCCACTCATGGGCTCAGCAAAACCAGAAGAGCATATGAAATATTCAGCATGTAACAGATAATTTTGCTGGGTCTCAAATGCAAATAATTAAGGAAGGGGGCCGGGGGAAATGGTCTACCACTTTTCATATTTTCTGGCCTGGTTAGCACTTAGTTTGGCTTCAGCAGGGCCCTCCCAGGGAGCGCAAGGGTCCCTGTGCTTGCAGAGACTGAGTGCATGCAGGTAATGTGGGCTGGGCAGCAGGTTCCCTTCACCCGTCCTGGGGGCTGGTCCCACTTGTTTGGGTCAAGCAGCTGGCCAAAGGGGAGCACGTCAGCCCCTGCCACCACTCTCTGGAGCTCATGGAAACCCCCCCTGAGAGGGGGATGCTGTGTACCCAGGCAGGGCAAGTCCGGAGGGGAGAGGGTGCAGCCAAACGCAGGACCCATAGGGTAGCCTGAGTTGGCAGGAGGCGAGCAGCACCCCTTGGGGGCTGCGCGGGGCAGGCAGCAGGATCCCTTCTTGGAGGATCCCCCCGGGGTGTCTGCTTGGGCACTTTTCTGTAGCAGCAGGTTGCTTCCCTTCCCCACTTGGGCTTGGCAACGCTGTGCGGGCTGCCTCCGCCATCCCAGGGAGGTGCTAAGGCAGACCCCCCCCTCCGCCCCCAGAAGGCCATTTAAATGATGCTGCTGCTCATTATTCCTCCGCTGAATCTTTTCATGGAGGCAGCCAAGCAATATGCTTAGCCCATAGTCTCAGCTTACCTCCAGCATCTTCCCAGATGGCCAAAGCCCCAACTGCTCCCAGACCAGCTGCCAAACACACTGTCTTCCCCCAAATGGCTTTCAGATGCAATTATGTGTTATCAATACAAAATCTGTGGTGTGCTGAATGCAAAGAGCCAGCTGAACATAAATGGCATTTTAATATCAAAATAAATAAAAGGGGGGTTACTGGGGCTGAGTGTGTTTTATTCATGGTCAGAGCTTATTCACTGAAAACTTCCCCATCTTCCACAGCCTGACTAAGGCTGCTGCAACCCAGCGTAGCAGGAGCGAGAGATCCTGCTACTGAGTTTAGACAGAACGTGGAGCTTTGGTGTAAAGTGGGATGTGTGCCCGTGCCTGAAGGGTTCCCAAGTACATGCCTATATCTGCGAGAGATCCGCATGAACTGAAGCAGCGATACCTGGGCTGGGATTTTTTTGAAGGCTGCCAAACTGCAGCTGCCTGGGTGTTTGCAGCTGGGGGCTGCTTAGAGGAAAAAAGAGTGAGTGGGAACACATGGACAAAGAGAGTAGGTGGGCTGTTTGCCTGCCTGCCTGATGACTCGAAGCTCAGGGCTTTCCCTGGGAGGGTGTGAAAATACAGTCCCCTCAGGAGCCTTTTCCTAGAGGACTTTCCATCCTTATAGCTCAATTTTCCCAGAGAGGTTTCTTGGTTTCTACATCCACTGAGTGCCTCTCCATCTCATACAGTTTATGCTGCAGTGATGAAGGGCTTGTGGCTAGACAGGGCATAGCCATTTGTTCATTTTGTTGCCAGGTCTGGAGACCACTGACCTTCTCTGTTTCAGGTCTGGATGGATGCAGGCACTCAGATCCTCTTCTCTTATGCCATTTGCCAGGGGTGCCTGACAGCTCTGGGCAGCTACAACAAATATACCAACAACTGTTACAGGTAAGAGGAGCCTGGATTCCTCACATCCTTCTGGAAATTTGCTCGGAGACAAACAGCACAGAGCTGCATTTCAGGCAAGCTCTGTCCCCAGGGGAGACCTTGGGTCGTGCTGCTTTGCCCACCAAGCTGCTCAGAGCATGGAAGCTGCAGAGGATGCAGTGTAGGGATGGAGAGTGGCCCGAGGGAACACAGGAGCTCCAGAAAAGGGCTTTAGTGGTGCTTGCCCATGTGAGTCAGCTTGGAAACAGAAGAGATTGAGGAGGAGGGGGAGGAATGAAAATGAAGAGAGTCTCCAGCCCCTGTGGAGGCACCATGGGCAATTTTGACAGGGTGAGTGAGCAGGGGTGGCATGGCCAGCTCTGCTGTCACTTGCTAGGCAGGGGAGAAGATACAAAGATGATGGCTGGGCCCCCTGTCTCCAGTGCTTTATTGCCGTCAGGGTAATGTACTGCCAATGGCATTTTGATCCCATCAAGAAAATTAATCAAGTCTGTCTGGCCTCCTCCTTGCCCTTGGATTACAGATCTATTTTATCCATGGCCTGCCATGGAGCTCAGTGAAGCCATCAGGACCATTTCTGACACCTTTCACAGAGCCCTGAGGAGTGGGAGCTTTGTTATTCCTTCATGTATTGCTCCGGCATGGATGGAAAAATGTAATGGTACTCTGGAGACATCAATCATCTCTCCTTTTCTTCCATTCTCCAGTATGTGCTGCCACGGCTGTTGGTCAGGCAATTAATACTTTCTCCTGGCTCTCCCGAAATGTAGCTGTCACCAACAGAGGGGTGTGCTGACGCCTTCCTCTAATGCCTTAGGTGCCTTGGAGTGGCAGCTTAGCTCTGGGTGGCCCAAATGTGCTGGGTGTCCGCACTGCCCCATTGCCGCAGATGCTGTGGGTCTGCTCTGGAGGCTGCCCCAGCAGCATCCCGGGGGTGTGGGGTTTCCAGCCCAGCCAGCTCAGACCCGTGCCCCATTTTGCAGGGAATAAGTGCACAAAAGTTTCAGGACAAGGAGCATGGTGTGCTCCCACCTCCATCTGAGCACAGTTAATAAAGGCAGTGTAGACACAACCTTTGTCAGCTGAGGATTTTTGTTAACCCATTAGTTTTACCAGACCTGCTGGACCTGTACATGTTCATGCTTTCAGATGTTCCTGTTTCTTGCCTATGTTTACTTTTGCAACCTCTTCCCTTTTCTAATCTGCCCTTTTCCTCATTTTCTCTTTGTTTTTCTTATTCCCTTGACTCCTGCCAACCTTTTTGTTGCCATGTCCCTACGTATATCATTGTGGCATCCTATTCACAAGCCACTGTCAGTGCCCCATGTCTCTCTTTGTGCCACCTGTAGTCCTATAGCTCTTGAACAGTGGGGTACAAGGTGGGTGGGATGATTTTTGGCTCTTTTCTGTTTTGAGTTTTTTACTTCTGAGGGAGTTCAAGAGCAGCATGGCTGTTCCTTGGCCCATGCTGTTCGGCTGGCACGATCCCAGCTGGACCCATTCTGCATTGGGAAACACCAATCTTTCTCTGGTCTCCTCCCTGCAGGGACTGCATCATGCTCTGCTTCCTGAACAGTGCCACCAGCTTCGTTGCTGGCTTTGCCATATTCTCTGTGCTGGGCTTCATGGCTCAAGAGCAGGGTGTACCCATAGCAGAAGTGGCCGAATCAGGTAGGTTTTTCCAGGAGACTTCAGAGCCAGCGCAAAACAGAAAGTCTAGGGGGGACACACACTTTTCTGAAGTGAAGCCTGGGATGTTATCTACATTCTCTATCACTGTGGGTGTCCGCAGTGAGGTCTGCAGGACCAGTGCTTCCCCATGTGGCTTTCAGCCCTGAGTGGGCAGGGAGCCGTGGTGGAGTGAGCTTTGAAGCAGCCTGTGAGCTCGGTCTGTGCTGCAGTGTGGTGGTGGTGGCAGGCAGCAGCATGGGGGGCACTTGTGGTCATCCTGCTGTCTGTTGGCAGGTCCTGGCCTGGCTTTCATAGCGTATCCAACGGCAGTGACGATGATGCCCGTGTCTCAGCTCTGGTCCTGCCTCTTCTTCCTCATGCTGATCTTCTTGGGACTGGACAGCCAGGTACCGCAAACACCCCCCCCTTGTCTAACGCCCAGGTGCCTCTCCCCACCCTGAGCCCTCCCCAGGGCCATGGGAAAGGATAAGGCGGTTATGTGCACACATGAGGTGGTGCTGATGGGAGGCTGGTGATTACATGTGCTGGCATCTCTGTTTGGCATCCTTCTCCCTGTGTGTATGTGAGAGCGTCCCAGCTCCATCCCCTCCTACCTCTGTGCCAGCACCGAAGCCCTGCACGCTGCAGAGTGAGGCCCGGTACAGAGCAACGCGGGCTGGGAAGGGGAATGGGGCCGTTTTCTTGCAGCTGCATTTCACCAGAGCAATCCCCGTGTGCTCTCCTCGCTGGTATGCCCATCTCTTACCCTCCCATACCCCTGTTACGCCAGGAGCAAAACCCAGCAGAGCACCCTGAAAAGTGCAGTGTGCAACCCTGGCAAGGCAGCACGAGGGGAGCAGGGGGTGTCCCAGGGCGCCTGCTGGGCAGGGTGCTCTGCTCAGGCTCCGCTTTCCGGCACCTCAGCCCCTGTGGCCTGGAGAACGTGGTCTCTTTCCTCTGTTTCTCTGGATCAAGGTCCCCTCCTGCTCCATCTCACTTACAGCTCTGCTTCATCCTGGCTGGGCTGTCCCAGCCGTGACTGATGTTCTCTTATGTATCCCATGGGTGACGTATGCTGCAGGACCGAGAGCCATGCAGAGATGAGCAAGCGTCCTGCCCTGCAGTCAGCCCTGAAAGCCAGCAACTTGCCCATGGGACCTCCGGCTCCCCGCTCTACTGGGTTGTCCCAGGCAGCTGTGGCACCTCTTGCAGCCAGTCCTGCTTGGTGTCAGGGTTGAGCCGTGCCCTCGCAGTCACTTGGCTCCCCTTAGCTTCACAGGGTTCCTTGTGCCATCTCAGGTGCTTCCTCAGCCTGCTCGAGGGGCTCAGTCTGCCCCCTGCCTCCCCATCCCTCGGTTGTTCCTGCTGTGCAGCATCATGCTCTGTTGGGTTTGAGGCAATTCATCGCACATCTCACAGTTCATCCTCCCAACGTGGGTCTGTACTTTGGTCTGCAGCTCCGGAGGAGACCTCACTGATCTACTGAGCTGTGTCTGTGTCCCTCGCAGTTGCAGCTGGCCCTCGGTGGAAGCAAGATGGGCAAAAAGAGAAAAACAAACAAACAAACAAGATTTGGGTGGCTGGAGGACAAAAAGGACAGTGAGAGGGAATGTGTGCCTGGGGAAGGAGAGGCACTGCTTTTTCTAACCTATCGTCTTCTGCAGTTCGTCTGTGTGGAAAGCATGGTGACAGCTCTTATTGACATGTTCCCGGGAGTGTTTCGGAAGAAAGGGCGTCGGGAGCTGCTGATCCTGGCCATTGCAGTCATATGCTACCTTCTGGGCTTATTGCTGGTCACTGAGGTAAGAAAGGAGTAGCTGGGGTACAGCCGAGCACCAGGAACCCTGCTAGGCTGCTCTGGAGCAGTGGGTAGAGACAGCAAGTTCGTGTTTGATGCTGTTAATTATCCTTCATTTCTAATGCATTAGATGGTGCCTCTCACAGACGGTGCTGCTTTTACCCTGCGTGATGCTAGTGTACTCGCTGCATAACTGAGCCCTCCAGAGAGACGGTCCCGCAGCCCAGAGAGGCTGCCTGCCATACAGCTTTGTGCAAATACCAGGCCTGGTGGCTAAAACAAGCTGAGCTGCACAAGCCGAAGCTCTTCGAAGGGCAGCGATCATTTTCTGGCTGCTTTCCACAAGAAGCAGAGCAGTGGGAGGGAAGACTGGGGGGAATGGCTGCACTGTAACCCTGCCTGAGTCAGTGGGGAGCTCGTGATCCCTGGGAGCAGAAGCAGCAGAGCTGTGTCGGTGCGATGCTATGCACCCAGTGTTTGCCCGGCTCTGCAGCTAACAGCCAAGCACCTCTTCTTGCACAGTGGTGTGCTGTGCGTGCACACTGCGTACTTTGGTGGGGGTCTTAGCACTCCTCTGTGTTGCCTCCGTGTGCTATGTAGCGACAGCTAATTCCTGCTAAACCTCTTAGGCACTGCTGAATGATCCTCCAACAGGATCCCACCTAAGGATTTGCTGAAGGCAGCTCCAAATGTGATCGAGAGCTTTGAGTGAACCTGCGTTAAGGGTTCCCATGGCTTTTGCATGCCCCCTTGCATGGAGGCATCTACTCCCATCATTGCAGGATGTCAGCTCATACGTGCTGGGATGAAGGGGTAACTGCTATGCTACTCTGGCAGCATCTAGAGCCCTTCAGCACTATTTGAAAGCATCTTCTTGACTTGTATTGGATGGGGCTTTCTCTTTGAGAAAACACAGGAAAGTATGAGAGGGGAGTCATCCACTGACCTGTGGAAGTGGCTGATGGCAACTCTGCAGGGCTCAGCTCAAAGGCAGAGGCAGCAGGGAAGCCACATGCCTCTGCCATTGCAGGGCTTGGACTTAAGTGATGTGTAAAGATGGATGCAGCTAAAATGAGGTATCCGAATGTCCTGATCCTCAAGATCAGCACTTTCTTGGGCGCAGAATTCTGCACTGCTACATGGTATTTTGAAATGATGCTGGGAACTCGCTAACTGGTTTAAGCAAACCTATTCCTGCTCCTGTGACATAGAAACCAGCCTAGCCCAGCAGTATCATAAAATGGGCATGAAAAGCTCTCCTGCCACCAGGCCTGGCTGTGGTTTTGGGACAGAGTGGCGGCAACCCCAAGAGAAAGCTCTTCTCCTTCTCCCACCTGCTCTAGGTGCAGTGTTTCCGTGGCTCTTCTGCTTGCCTCAGTCATTTTTTTCCCTCACATGGAACAGTCTTGCCATGACGGTCTTTACCTCTTCACCAGGGTGGGATGTACATCTTCCAGCTCTTTGACTACTATGCTGCCAGCGGCACGTGCCTGCTCTTCCTGGCCATTTTTGAAGTCATCTGTATAGGATGGGTGTATGGTAAGTGGAGGACAAAAACCTGTGTTGCTCTTTCTCAAGGCAAGGATGGGGGGTTAAGAAGTGGGAGTGGATGGAAAAGATCCTTAGGGGGCAAAGAAATGCTGTAATTACCCTCTTTCTTGTCTGGTTTCCACTGTGTTTGCTTGCAATGTTTCTCAGTTGCTCCACATTTAGAGTAGGAATGGTTTTTCCCTCTCTGAAGGTTCTTCACGTTGAACTACCTTGCTGCTCTTTCCATCTGCCCTTTGAATTAGAAAAGCAGCTAGAGAGGAGGGAGTGCTGTTCTTTGGCCTCTGTTACTGTCTGCTTACATCGTGCCGTTAGTTTAGTCCTGCCAGTTAATTTAATACAAAATGCTGGGATGCAGACTTGCCGGGTGCCACTTCTGCGATGATACACGCTGTCTGCATGGGCTGTGACAGCACTCCTAAAAAAGATGGGAGGGACTGCTTTGGCTCTCAGAGAAGTCTGTAACTAAACTACTCAGCAGCAGGGTTAAACTGAGCTCCACGAACTAGCAGAAGGAAACCAACTGCTTGTTAATCCGTGCAGTAAGAAGAGCATCCTGTGATATCCTATGGCAGATCTCTTCCCTGCTGAATGGTGCCTGAGCACAGAGGCTGCAGTTCATCTCCCTGAGGCTCGCATTGAGGCTGCTGGTTTCCAGGCAAAGGCTCTGGTTGTGTGTGATGCAGAGTAGCTCTCTCTCATGGAGCTACAGGAGCTCAATACCTGTAAGGATCGTGCAAAGCTATAGTAGGTACCAGCTTAGACCAGGTCCTCAACACCCCACAGTCAGGCATCAGCTGGTTCCTAGCTACGCCAGGCACTGTGGCCATCCTAACCTAAGGAAAGGATTGCGGGCATGAGCATCATGTTGTGTCTCTTTCCATGGCCAGGAGCGGATGCTCAGGAAGGGATATAGTAGCAGAAAGGTTAGCAATGATACTTTCTGTGAATATTCTTCCAGCTTCTAACAACTTATTATAGAACCATAGAATGGTTTGGGTTGGAAGGGACATTTGAAGATCATCTAGTCCACCCCCCCTTCCATGGGCATGGGCATCTTTCATTAAATTGGGTTGCTCAAAGCCCTGTGCAACCTAACCTTGAACACTTGCAATGATGATGCATCCACAACTTCTCCAGGGCAACCTGTTCCAGTCTCTCACCACCCTCATAATAAAAAATGTCTTCCTTATATCCAATCTAAATCTTCCCTCTTCCAGTTTAAAACTGTTGCCCCTTGTCCTGTCACTACAAGCCCTAGTAAAAAGTCTTTCTCTGTCTTTCTCACAAGCCTCCTTTATATATCGAAAGGATGGAACAGAGTCTCCCCACCAGCCTTCTTTTCTCCAGGCTGAACAACCCCAACTCTCTCAGCCTTTCTTCACAGGACAGGCGTTCCAGCTCTCTGATCGTTGTCATGGCCCTCCTCTGGACCCGATCCAACAGGTGCATGCCTTTCTTGTGCTGGGGGCCCTGGAGCCAGATGTAACACTTGGCTTGTTGTCCAGAGATTTCCAGAGCTGGAAGCAAAATCTATTTATTTCTCTTCTGTTAGTTTTTCCACTTGACTTAGGTCAGTATTTATCATCCACAAAATGCTGCAGCAAGGAGCTCCATGGCTGGTCAGGTGTTGTGTCGCTCTCTTTTCTGTGTTTTGAATCTGCCACCTGCTCATTTCGTTTGGTGCTGCCTTTGCCTTATTTTAGAGGAGAGAGTGAGCAGTCAGTCCCTGTGCACTCTCTTTGTGCCTACAGTTTTACAGAGGTTGCATTGGCTGCACTGCAGTTGCTGATGAAGGGGTTATCAGTTTCTCTCAACGCTTTATGTACAGCAGGAGCCAATTGCTAGTCTGGATGGACTCCTCTGTTACTGAAATGGTAGCAGGTCCAGCTGCTTGGGCTTGACCTCCAGGGAATGCAGGATAAGCAGATCTGGAAGAGAGATTTATCTTAGAGAGATGTCCTGCAAGGGAAGCTCACCTGAGTGCTTGCAATACCAGACCACGGCCAGATTTTAATTTGGAGTTGCCTTCTACCCAGTCTCTGTGGGATTTACAGGGAAATGGAAATTCCCATCCATCCGTGATGGGGCTTCATCATCACCACGCTCAGTTACATTCAACTGAATTATGCTTTAATGTATAGAATCCCCCTGCCATTTTTACGGTCACAGAGGCCACATGGCTTTTTCCGACGACCCATGGAGAGGAGCAACGGCAGACGATGAGCAGCAGGAGAGGTGATGCTGCCCCAGCAGCCTGGAAGGGGGATGGAGCAGCTGGGGACTGAGGAATGGCCCTTTCCCTCACCACCATGGGCTCATTTGCCACACTCCACAGAGTGGAATTTTATCCTCTTGATGTTCTGTTTTCCATCCATTGGGCTGATTCTGGTCAAAAATGTAGTCAGAGGGCCAAGGTGAGGCATCATAGTGGGAAAAAGAGGTGCCTGGTGCCAATTAATGTTTTTTTTTCCCCAGCCTCAGAATTGGCAGGGCTGAGCCTCTTGCTTACACTGTGAAGAATTACAGCATTTTTGCTAACACAAATATGCGTTCCGAGTTTCCCCTCTCTCGGCGCATACGCCAACCACCCACCACTTGGCAGCTTCCCTCTGCTGCCAGGCAGCTGCTCTCGCAAAGATCCAAGGATTTCCTTGCGTACTGCTCTCTGCCTGCGAAAGGATCGCGCCGCGTCAGACCTGCTGATCACCTTCCCTAGAGGGGAGTGCTGAAGGGGTTTTGAGTTGTTTTTTCCCCCCTTCTCCTCGCTCCCTTCCACTTCGGAGCAGGCAGCCCTCATATGAGCAGGCATGGGTTTTGAGCACTGGGATTCACAACATGATGCCACCGAAACGTGCTGCAGGGAGGATATTTTCCAGGCAGTCACAGCATGCACATTAAGATTAGCTGTTCCAGGAGAAAGCGAGTGCCTCCATCGCTACGGGAGAGCCGGGGCTGAAACCATTAGGACTGTTTACAAAGCTAAAGCAAACTGATGCCAGCGGGTACCTGTGGGTGGTCCTAGGGTGAACCCGTGTTGTGCTCGTATAAATCTTTCTCTCGCTCTCTTGCTCGCATGCGGCGTGGCTACCAGAACCGGCAGCATCCTTCTGCCTGGATCCTGCCTGTCGGGCTTGCTCTGGCTGTGTGTGCTTTATCCTCTCAGATGCACCAGTTTCACCGGCTTCAGGCAATCTCACGTGCTTATTTATGGACCATAAGGGGCCTGCTCTGTGCAGCTGGTACCCCAAAGGTACGCGCTTGTTGCAGCATCGCAACGCCTCTGCTGCTGGCATTCCGCACAGGTTTGGCGCAGGTGTGGATGCTGCAGGTTTGAGACAGAGACAAGCTTAGCACTGTGGCACAGAGCTGGGGTCATCACCCGCTGAAATCCTGTGGACGAGATTTGATATAGAGGAATGCAAACACATGCAGCTTGGGAGAAAAGATTTTAAAGGGAGGGATTTTTCATAGATTCCAAACTGGCAGTTCTGTGAAACCCACAGTTTCTGGATATTGCAAAAAAAAAAAAAACATTTTTGTCCCTTTCAGTTTGGGTATCACTTGTATATAGCAGTTGTTATAAGCTACGTAAAATGAGAAGGGCTCCGTAAGGACAAGGCATAAGGTTGTAAGCAAATCTCTAGTTGGGAGCACGTAAAATTTATTCCCACACATTTACGTAGCAGAGTTAAAGGATTTGTCAGAAAAGCATGCAGTAGCTTTGAAGGTACATGGGATCGATCGGCACAAAAGAAAAGTGATACCACCAGCATGCGTGGGTAAGTGCCCCGTGCCTGTGTACCGTTCTTCCTTGTCTTGGGATATTGGGGATAACAGCAAACATCTTTGCTCATTCCAACAAAAATCTCTTTGGGGAAATCTTTATGGTTTTCTCTGCAGCAGCTTTATCTAATCCTTCTAATGTGCTGGGAAGGAAGGGGCACTGCGTGCATCCTCCAGCTTCTAATTTGCTCAAAAAGCCAACGCTGAGTGATTGAACTGGTGACTTCTTAAGCTTGATTACTCTTTCATCTGCCCACGAAACGTAGACCATGTTAAAACCTGTTCATATACTCTCTGAAGCCGTTCACGTCAGTTCCCACTGTGTTTCATCACATCGCCTACCGACTGCCACAACGGCTGTGGAAATGCAGGACCTGATGGTTGCTCTACAGAGCATAGGGATAAGGACAAGCAGAGGCACACCGTAACTAACGACCTAAGGTCTTTTGGGTTGTTTTCTTGGTGGAGGATGGATGTCTGTTTTGTCTTTATTTTTGTTTGGCAACTTTGTATTTCTTCAGTTGCTATGTCTCTTCCGCTAGATCTGAGATCCGAATTTGCAGTGAAATCTTGGCTTCCACAAAGCTGTATTATGAATTAATTTATCCGTCATATGTCTGACATCAACAGTGTGTTTCTGTGGAAACGCTGTATGGTATAAGGGACTGCGCTATGCTCATATTCTAAACTGCAAGTCCCATCATTTCTCTCTCTCCTTTTTTTCTCACCCTGTGGAAGATTTTGGCTTTTTGGCAAAATATATTTTTGTATACCGTCTCCCTTTCATCCCCAGTATATTTTCAGAAATGCTATCTGAAGCCTCATGATATTTACAGCTTGGAAGTTTTAGGTTCTGTTCTCTGGTGTAGGCTGGGCTCCCACACAAGGCTCCGCATCCCCTGATATGCCACAGCTTGTTGTCTTTGCTTGAGGCTACTTGTTAACTTGCCAGCTCAAGATGGGAACCATGAGGTGTTCAAAGAACCTGCCCTCCACAGTCTAAATATTTCAAAAAGCTGGGTTTAAAAGAGCTTTCCTGCAAACATTAGTCATGGGATAAAGAAAATAATGCAAAGAATTAAAAAAAAAGAAAAAGTAAAGCACACATAATGTGCTTTTGTAGAGCTCGTATGTTTATTTAAAGGAAACATAATATGGTAATTTAATTGTAAGACATAAAAACCATAAACCAAAATAAAACTTGCCAAACCCCAAACGATCGCAAGTGTGGCCTCTAGGCATATATTTTGCCCAGCCTTCTGGTGTTAAGATGCAAAGAAGCAAGGTCTCATCATGCTTGCGGGTGAGAACTGTGGCATGACTGGAGTTAACAGCAGGATGAACACCCCTAAAGGCAGAGCCTTTCTTTATTAGCCAAGCACTGTGATTAAACTTCAGTAAGACAAATGCGGTATTATTTCATCCCAGAGGTGCTTAATTGGTAACCCTTTCTATGGACAGTCTAGCTCCATTTTTTTTGTCCAATATTATTACTCTCTTCTACCTGAGGCAGTCTGATATAGTACCTCTGGTTAGCTCTAGTTAGCAAGAAGTTAGGGCATCTTATGGATGACTTATTGATACTTCTTCATTTTACATCTCCTTTTGGACAACAGTAGGCTCTTGTTCCGCAAAGACATCTTAGAGCTTACTACAAGGTCTGCTGAAGTCCATCTGCATTACGCTGTCTCCTCTATATACCATTGCATACATTTCCTCTTTGTGCTTTGGGTTGGGAAGAGTCAATGGATAGGGTCTGGCCAGCGGCAGGACTTTTAGATGCTCTTAAGAGGTATATTCCGCTTTGGCGCACTGTGAGATTCAGGTGGGTCCCACATACTGTGAACAACATAATCTAGTAAGTGAAACTCATGAGAGTTTCATGAGATCAGGCACCCACAGGACAGGTCCCATTGGACAGCACAGCAGCACTTGCAGATGGAAGATTTCCTTTCCAGCAGAGTTTGGATTGTCAGGTCTTCTGGGTTTATGCCAAAAATAAAATATTCTGTGGAAAGCAGGCTCCTGATGACAAGGGAAATGCCCAGTTCAGTGGGGATTCTTGACATAACTCCCCTGGTGTGCCAATCTGGTTACAAAGAGAGGGGTTTGTTTGGTCTCCCCTACTCTCTTTCTTCCTTTTAGCACTCTTGGCTCATGCAATCCCATGTGCTCAACCTGAAAGAGCTTTCCCTTTCTGACTTATACACCAGGCCCCCCGCTTTGCCTTGTGCCGGTCCTGACCAGCTCTTAGTGGCACATGGGCTGCATCCTCTCACTTAGAGCTGCTGCTGTCTGAGGGACAGGGCATTTCTTCTGTCAAGCTTTCTGATAACCTATGGCTGAAGTTAAAAACCTCCATCTGTATTTAGCCACAGATGGGCCTTCTCAATGCTGGAAGAGCCTGTTACTGTACTATAGTACTATAGTCTGTTGCTACACTATTAGGATAGCCATGTCATTGCTGGGAGTAAGCTCTGAGGATAAAGAAAGTTGGGATCTGATGTGAATAGTGGTCAAAGGCAACAACAATGATCTGACCTCTGACTTTGCCTCTGTGCTGGCTGGTGGCCAAGGTGCCAACCGCTTCTACGACAACATTGAGGACATGATTGGTTTCCGGCCATGGCCCTTGATCAAGATATGCTGGCTGGGGTTCACCCCCAGCCTGTGCTTGGTAAGTGCAGTTATGACAACATGGCATATTATTCTGGGTCCTGGGGTTCTCAGTAGGAAAGGCTGATTTTTCTTCAAGGTGCTGCTGTAATTTTTTCAAACTGCTACGCAGTAGCAAAAGCTTGTCCATATCTGAGGCAGCAATTTATTTCCTTTGTAAAGCCTTACCTTTTGCCTGGAAAATTAATTGAGCCTGAAAAGCCACTTGTTTACTGTGAAGGCAAAGGGAAATTTATCCTCAAAATCTGGAGAGGTTTGGTCAAATTACTTTTGAATGGAAGACCAGTGAGAATTACCCTGTTCTGGAACACTTGCTTCACCCTGTGTTCCTGTGACCTCCTGTGGTTCAGAAATATCTTTCCATGGCTATTTGCTTTCTATGTTGCTAAATTTCTTTTAAAAATTCTGTGACAACTGTGTTTAAAGAAAATGCACTCTAAGTCATTGGGTTCTTGCCTGTTTTGAGTTTATGTCCAGTCTTGCTCCACTGACTTTGACATGATTTCTGACCCAAATTCTGCTCCTGCATCTGATGTTCAGAGTCGGTTTCTTTGACCTCAGTAGGAACACAGATGGGATCTATAGCCACAGCTTACGAAAGATTTCTAGCCCTTTGTCCTTGGGCTCCAGCAGGAGCTGAATATCAGGGAAATTTTCAAGGCAATCCTGTTCCATCCCAGATCATCTGAGAGCCCTGTGGGTAGAGAGCCCTGAGAGGGGTAAATCTGTGCCCGCATGGTACTTCTGGAGGGCTTCTGCCAGGGACAACAACAGTTCCTGACTTTGATATGAATAAATGGCTGTCTCAACATTGCTGGACGCTCAAAGCTGCTGCCAACTTTGCTTAGGTTGAACCCTTATGAAGTCTGAAGGCTTTACACTGCAGAGAAGCCTGGCCCTGGCTCTGAGATAACTCCTTGTGTGGTCAGCGTGCACCAAGCTCTGCCTCGCTGCAGCTAGTAAGGTCCATGCTAGCTCGTGCAAGACATCATGCTCATGACTGCCTGGCTTTGCTGCTCCCTTCATTCTGGCTATGTCTGTGTCTTCTGTTCCTCAGGCCGTCTTCCTGTTTTCCCTGATCAAGTACACACCCTTGAAATACAACAACACTTATGTGTACCCACCCTGGGGCTACGTGGTGGGCTGGCTGATGGCACTCTCCTCCATGGTCTGCATTCCTCTCTACGCCATCATCATCCTCCTGAAAACCAAAGGATCCCTGAAGCAGGTACTGGGATTGTGGTCACTGGGCAAGTTGCTGCTGGTTCCCTGAGATGACTCATGGGAAGGGCCTCAGGGAAGATGTACGTGGCACATTTCTCCTCTGAGAAGGCAAGGGGGGTGAGAATGGCCCTTCCCCAGAATGCCCTGTAGCTCTTGCTGGCAGTTTGGAGGGCTTGGAGAGTCTCAGCACAGCTTCTAGGGTGATCATCAAATGTCTGGAGGCTCCCATGAGACGCTGCACCACCATACTCAGTGCAATATGTAGACATATGCAGAGCATTTCTAATGCTGGCTCCACTGGATGGCAGAGGACCCCTTCAGTGTGGGCAACCTGAGGCCACCAGCTGATTCATTTGGTTTATGATTCAGGTGGTCCTGCTGGCCGTGTAAGTAAAGATGGCATGTCACCACCTTTGCCTTCTCCTTCGTTACTGGCTAATGGCAGTGCAAACCAGCTGCAAAACCAGGATCTGTTTTGCCTTTACTTCTCGTCCCTTACCCTGTTCCCCTTTCAGTCCTGGGTCAGGACCATGTTATTTTTCTCTGAAGAAATGACATGTGGCTATTAAAGAGGACATGCTCACAGAACTGTAAAGGCCTAGCCCTGTGCCATGCCCAAGCCTGTCCTCTTTCACTGCAGACACCTTGTCCTAGGAAGAAGTGTGCCTAGAAAGATGGTGTCATAGAGATGACACCCCACCTGACTCATGAAGAAAGAACCTGAGTGATGCACAGCATCTATGCATTTCTGCACAATTTCTCTTCTAGTCCTCCCCCATCCTGATTGACTGTAGGCTCATCTGCAGCTGGTTGGGGTGGGGAGTGGGTGAAGAGGGGACAGGAGCATAGCATCCCTGTGGCTGTGGTGTAGGTGTGACAGTCACATTTTGGGGTCATGGGGAGGAGGAACCTGCACTTCCAGCAGAGCCAGGGCAGGGTGCCTCACTGGCTCCGTTGCCTCAGGGAAGGTGCCCATGGGGGTCCTTTTTTGCTGTCTAGGAGATGTGACTTAATACAGAGTGACAGAAGTTGTGGCAGAGCTGGCTAATGCCCATCTCAGGCTCAGGAGAAGATACAGTGCAATACCCAGACAGGAATGGTAGCGATAGAAAGTCTTCAGTGACATGGTGAGAGGGGCACAAGCCATGCAGGCAGGGAGGTGGAGGTGAAGAAGTACGATGCCATGAAATAGTTCCTGTTGAGCTGGCTTTGGCCCTCAGGCTTCAGGGTTGCTGTTGGTGGCCATGAAGAGATTACAATGTTGGGAGGGAGCTGGGAGCTGTACACCTCCCAGTATGAGGAACGCCAGGTGAATCTTGTGCCAAGGCACTGTGAGATGATTTGCTCCCAGTTCAGACCTCAATTCCTGCCTCTTACAGCCCTCTTCTGGGCTCTGGGCCATTGAGTAGTAACACATCCTTCCTTTTCCATGGCTGGTTTGAAGAGTTTGACTGGGTGGCTGACAAGACATCTGAATCCCTGCAGCTCAGAGGTTTCATATCTCTAAATAGAGCTGTCAGGGAAGGACTTGGACTTGGAGCTGTCAGGGAAGTAATTGTCCGAATGTTCTGCCTGCTAAGCAAGCAGCGTTTCTCACCTGTTGCAAAGTGCTTTGAGCCTTTGGACTGAAATGTGCTGTGAATAGTGTTAATGCTTATTTTACAGCACATCCGAGGAATTGATTTGGCCAATTTCAGACTGAGGGTTTTTCTATTTGTCCTGGTTTAGACGATATTAGTTGTAATTTCCAGGGAGTTCTCAGTTATATTAGCATGAAGAAACTTCCAAGGATGTGGTTTAGGCATGTAGGAAGGAATCGGCTGCGAAGTCCGGGTTAATTCAGGGGAGAATCAAAGCCAACCACACGATACCTCCTGGAATAGTTGCTCGGGTTGTGAAAACAGGTTTTCTCAAAATATATCCATTCCCTTTCTCCAGTCACAACCCAGAAATGTACTGAATTAATTTCCTGACACAAATGCTTCCAGGAACAGTGCCTTTCAACTGAATACTGCAAACCATTCACTGAAAGCAAGTTTCTAATTGGTAATTATGATCAGTCACTGGGAGGACCTGATTCCTCTCGTTGCGCTTGACTGACCAGGAAACACAAATGTTGTTTCCTAATGTGTCTGATTTAAGACAGCTCAAGCTCCAAAGACTGAAAACTCGCAATGAACTGCTCCCAGAGCAGCTGTGGGCCAAGGCCGGTTTCAGAAGCCGTGGGGCCAAATACTTTTGAACAAATGAGCAAAATCCGGGGTTCTGGCAGGCACTCCATAAGGAGTGGAAGCACTGGCATGGATCCAGCGAGTCGCGGGGATGAATTGCGTGCGCTGCTTGCGATGCGCTCTGCAAGGCAGGAGCGTGCACGGGCC